TTCTATTTGAGACATAACTTAAACATGTTTCAGGGGAAAAGGAGTTAATGGTGACACCTTTTTCTACATCCAAATAGATCAATAAATATTCAAAATATATTACTTCTTGGTTTGTTAAATACTTCTCAAATATATCTTTCCAGAACCAATCATGTCACAACGAAACAAGGGGGAAATCTCTTTATGGTCGATAATTATTTTTAACTTAAATGCTATAATGCTCCTCTATCACAAATAAAATGGAAATGAAAAGCAGGAAAAAAAAAAACACAAATGTCTTCTCAAAATAACTTCTTCACAGATCAGTAAAGCACACGGATCGACTCCGATGTGTTTCGTTCTGCCGGAGTCGGCAGTGGGAACGTTTTTGTGCATCACATTTTCACACTGACGGTTTCCCAGAAATGAATCCTTCAACTCATCCTGTCGTCTTTCCAACAAACAACAATCCCTTCTTCTTGCACGTTGGAAATTGGTAAAAACTCCACGCTGCCAACGTGTTCCACCAGGAGGCACCTGATCCAGCGTTCCTCTCCACTGACGGGCTGTTCAGCTGCTGGTTCAGTTGGCATACTGTTTGTAAAAGGCAACCTTGACGCGCTCTATCTGGTGACACAGTTTGATGGCGGGACCGAGCTTCAGGTCCATACACTCCTGTACGGTGGGCAGAGTTAGCAACAGCAGAGCCTGACCGTCGATGTCCTGAAACAGATAGAGTTAAACGGGGAAAGCATTTTACTGCTTATTACAACTGCACCATGTGGTAAAAAACATCATATTGAGATCGTTAAGATTATTTGGCGACAGAAATGTAAATAAAAACAACTCTAAATACATGAATGATGTCCAATGTGCCGCGATACTTCCAATAACAAATTTAATATCAGCGAATGTATCCGGCTATCTGTTTCTATAACCGACCTGTTAGTTCTGTAGGCTTCCAGGCATTGTTCCGAGCCTGCATGAACCGCAGCATCGGACCCGTTTATGCCGGCGCGCCCTAGATGCGCTATACACAACAACAACTAACACGCTAACTGTTGGCTATGCTAACCTAAACAAGCCAACACACTCTTAAAGCTGAATCCGAATTTTTCAAATATCTAACCACACCAACAATCAATGCCAACCTGTAAATACTTTCCTACCCTGTCATATCGACGCTGTTCCCTTAACCCAAACTAACCAATTGGCAAATTAGCACATCTTACATTTAGCACGCTCCTTCAGCGTGCATGAATAACCAATTAAACGACATTACACCAGAGCCTAGTGGCACTTACGCTTACGCGATTCAGCCCGTTAGCGCGGCGGTCCCTTTCAGCGTACGCTGAATTGACAGATGAAAGTTGAGTGGTTCTCTCTGTATTTGTGGCACCAGACACGGTCAGTTGTACACTTTGGAAAGACCATGTGCCACTTTAGTGGCTAATCGCGCGATCCAAACAGCGTGGGCATCAGCTAAACCAGTGACGCGATAACATGTCTGTTAATTCCACAATACGGCAGACTAGTGTTACGTTGTGTACCACCCGCCGTTTTGGTGTACAAAAGCCTGCATACTAATCGGTTAATGCGCCGGGCCCTGATATCGGTTCGCGGGACATTGAGACGTGTTTGCGGACAAGATATCGAGCTAATCCGGCCCGACAACGCCCAATATCCGAGGCCATGCCTCACTACTTTTACTGCAGAAAACAACACTAAAAATAAGTAACTCTGTAGACTTAACATAACATAACATAAAAGAAATGGTTGTAACATAAAAGTTCTAATTCATTGATTTAGATAGTTTAGAAACGTTATTTTAATAAGTTTACATAAAAAATTTGGAAAAACTTGTTGAAACAACAACATTTTTAAGAGTAGCCTTAACGAATTAAAAACTTGTTTATACCACATTATAAAGAACTGGTAATCAACTCAGTGTATTACATTTGTTGAACATAAGTTGAACCCCAAAAAAACCACTTGCAGCAATATTTGGGTATTGGGAAGACGTGTGTACCTGCTCCTGGAAGATGTTGGCCAGGGACGCACAGTCAGTAGAGTTGATAAACTGCACGACTTCGTCTACGCTCCACTCCAGAGGATTCCTGTCCAAAACCAGCTGACCCTCC